AATCTGCATCCTCTTCATAACTTCCACCAAATCTTTTACCGTACGTCTAGTGCAGCTCAGTTACAAGCCTGACTTCGAGTTTCTAATATAACCAAATCATCTCAAAGTCAACAATGTAATTAGTGGATTAAGAAAAATAGAGAGCATACTAAGACTAGCCTTTTACCAAATATAATCTTTATATAATTTGGCATCTATGTATAAATTTAAGACCTACCATCTCCACATTTTATGGTTCATTAATTCCAACAATCATGTAAATCATCAAGTATTTAGATTCCCGGAAAATTTCCTTAATTTGAACGAGTTGGTAACTATTGCGCCACTACTTTTTGTAGCTTTACCATTTTTATTATGAGAGAAATTGATTATGAACGAACTTATGAAGGGTAATTGCTAATTATGGACGTATTTTTCATCCCATTTTTCTATAATTGGCTGCTCTATAATCTATGTTAATGGGCTACGGTATTTTTCACCCCATTAGTAGGTTTTCTATTACTGCTTGTTATTTTTTTGCTTCTTTTATCTTATTTTTCTTATTGTTGTTACTGCTTTTTTTTTCATGGCTTTTCCTTCAATATTGTATTTCATTTTCATGATTACTGAAGTTATTCTTTTCTTGAGCCGAGGATTTATCGGAAATAACCTCTTTACCTTCACAATATATATAGGAATAAGGTCTGCGTACACACTATCATCCCCAGACCCCACTTATAGGATTTCATTGGATATGTTTGTATGGGCTAAAAGTTATCATAATTATATGTGAGACTAATCGGCATTAAGGACTTTCGAAGGCTGCCACGTGTCATCAAGCTAGTTTCAACAGAAGATGAAGGCGAGGTCGAGGACTCAATAGAGGACGAAGACGAGGACGAGCACTCCCTTTAACGGAGCAGTAACGACTAGTTTAGAAACAGTTCCTTACAGGGAATATTCTAGTATTCCTCCCATCTGTACTATTAGGGTTTTGTGGCCCATGTGCCCTAATAAATAGAAAGATATGTAGTTATGGATGTGATTGAACACTCATTGTCACACCTCCTTTTTACCTATACCCCGTAAAGGGTATAAATGGGTAAAGGGAGTTTTTTCAATTAAAGGACAATCGAAACATGATTTATTATAAAGATTCAGAGTCGCCACTTAGGTGATTCATGGTGTCCCAAGTCACCGATTGAATCCTGAATCGAGGAAAATACTGACTTTGTTTAACAGTCCGCGAACTAGAAATCCGAGTAAGGAATTCTGTTAACCCGGGAAAAGGTGTTAGGCATTCCCGAGTTCCGTGGTTCTAGCACGGTCGCTCAACTGTTATATTCGGCTTAATAATCTGATTTTAGAACATTTTGAACCTATGTGCAAATTTAAACTTTTAACCGCTTTTAACTTATTTAAAGAATTAACTCAAGGTCATTTAAAACATATTGCAAGTCACACCACATGAAATGCACCCGTGGTTCACGACACGCTCTATTTAACCTTGTTGGAAATTAGAGTCGGGTCACATGAAATGCACCCCCGGATTTTAACATGCTTATTTCATTATTATTATCCAAAATTATGGCAGGGTCACATGAAATGCACACCCGAGCCCATTTAATCTAATTGACATAGTTCAGCAATTCTGTTTTTATACTGTGACAAAATCATGTTCAGCTATAACCAATTCAAGTAAACACGAGCAGATAACCGAGCGAGCAAATTTAAAACCACTGAGATCAATTACAGAATCAACAGGATCATGTCATTAAACAAATAATTAATACCAAACTTGCATAAAACGAATAGAGGGTGAAAAAGGTGAACCTTAATATAGCCGGTTCATTATTTTGAACTCAAAAATGTGACGAGTCATGGACGGGACTCGAATTAGTACCGGAAACTCGGACTCGAACGCCTCAATAAATCTCACCCCAGTCGAACTCGAATCCAATTCTAGCACCTATCTCTTTCCCTCGCTCGCTGATGACACACTCTTTAACAAGCTTTACAAATGGTTTTGCATTGTCAAGCAGTTCACAACAGCGTTCTTTACAGGAATTTCATCGAACAACACGGCGGTTCTAGGTAAACAATGTGACTTGGCATGCAAATCAACCAAAATAGAGAACACATACACGCTTAAAACAAACCAGAATATCCATGCAAAAGGGCATGAATTACCTTCGAATTTGTAAGAACATGTTGCCCGTTTACAAAGAAACTCAGGCCTATGAAGCTAAACACGGACAAACCTGACTCTTCAGCCTCGACAGGAACTCAAAACATACGGAAGCTCGGACAGCCTATCAACGAACAACTCAACGGATCGGACACGGCGACCTGAACAGATTCAACTCGACTTTGAACCAACGAGAAACTCGACTCGATTAAGACACTTTAGCTATTTCAGATGTTGTTTGGAGGTGAGGAGTTGAGCAAAAGAGCTGGATTTTTGAGCTCTTAGCGAAGCTTTTGACTAGTTTTCATGGCCTCTCGGAGATCGTCGTTGCCAAGCCACCGCCGGCAACCAGATCCAGCGAGCGAAGCAGAGTTTCGACTTCAGCAATGGTTCATTCGTTGGGTTTCTGGGGTTTTCTCGTGTCTAAGTCGTGAAGAAGATGAAGCTGGGGTGGGGTTGGTCTGACGTGCATGGGTCGTGTATGGCTGTTGCTGCTTTCCGGCGAGTTTCAGAGAAGGATCAGAAGGGGTCGTTTATGGCTGATTCCTTGTTCATGGCTGCTTAAGGAAATTAAAACGAGGGGAGGGGGTATGCTTGAAGAAGATGACGCAGGAGGGGGTCAGGGGGTCGTGAAGACGACGACGCAAGGGGGCGGGGTTCCTACGCAGCTTCTGCGTGTTTTGCTTTCCCAGCCTTTTTTGTCCCTTTTTTTTTCTTATTCTTTTCCCGTTCCTTTTATTTATAGTCTAGGTTTTTTGTAGGGTTTTAGGTTAAGGGGTATGGGCCTAAGAATTATGGGCTTGGCAATTGTGGGCTAGGTCCAAAATTAGGCCTAAAGATGGGTTGCTCGAGCCCAAGCTCTATTCTTTCGCTGCGAACGAGATTAAAAATACGGGCCTATTTGTTAATTATTCCTACTATTCAAATAATTATTAAAATAAAACTAACCATTAAAACAAATATATTTTTGGTATTTTCAAATATCATATTAAAATAAAAATACGATACTATTTTTATATATTTTTTAGGATTTTTCTTTAAGATTAAAATGATTACAAAACATTAATGAACCTATTTTGTGATTTTTTGTTTTCTTGTAATAAAATAACGCAAAAGAGTCAAAATTACTTAAAATATCTATATTATGCCTAAATTAAATATTTACGCGCTAAATATGAAAAATCTTGGGGAGGGTCAAAAATCACATGTCTACACTCATTGTAAAATAATAATACATTGACATTCTCTAAAGATTCTCACTTTATCATTGACATACAAAATATACCTTTTCTTGAGATCTTTATCTATATTTTCTCCCAAGATCCGAAGAGGATCCGAATATTCAAAGACTTATCACCAGCTATCTTTTGTCAGAAGGAATATCAAAGAATCACACCCTTTTTGGGTGACTCACACGCATTTATTTACATAAATGTCATTCATCATTATTTACTGCCATTTAATGCTACCTTTTTTGTTCTTGGATCATTGAATATTGTATTATTGTTGCTATTTATTGCTACTCAAATAGTATCTGTGACATCTTGCCACAAAATCTTTTGGATATTGATATTGGTTAAGATTAACTCTATTTTATTAGAGAATCTGATTGTTTAAACCTAGATATAATTTTAGGTCAAAGAGTTTGGAGCCGTCTGTGGGGATTTTCTCAGCCAATCTTTTAGTTTCCATTAGATCCATAACTCACGTAACTTGTTAATCTAACGTTCCCTTAACCTCATGAATCCATCAACGAAGGCTATGATAACCAAGGCGATGAAGTGACGCCCATGGCCTCTCCCAGACGAGAGAGGTCGCATGCCCCTTTCTGCAGTGTAACAAAGCCAAATGGGAAAAGAGCTTCCACGTCCATGGGAGATGGGGCATCACCTGCTATGAAAAAGCTCCTCGAAGCATGGCTAACTGATACTCTAGTCAGTGTGCTCAGTAAACAAACTTCATGCACAACCATAGAAATACGAGAGTTTATGCAGCATAACATAGGGATGAATGTGACGACCAACTAGGCCCTTCGACTCCAGGTAAAACTCACACTACTACTTACAATGCAAGTGACAGCGTCCTCGCCGTCGTGTTGAAAAGAATAGAGAAAATGGAAAACGAGAACAAGGCGCTCAAATACCATATAAAAGAGCATCAGGAACGGGTAGACAAAATACCAGGTGCTCCCAAATTATTACCAAAGCGCTCTCAAATTATTACCAAAAAGAGACGCTGGCAAGTTTGTGGAACAGGCGTACAGCGGCGAAGCAGCTCCATATGCCATACCAAAGACCTTCAAGATTCCCCATATCTCTGAATCTACGACAGGATGACCGACCCCGAAGATCATGTTACTCACTACGTTACTGCTATGAAAGGCAACAACCTCACCAAAGAGCAGTTGTCCTCCATCTTGCTGAAAAAAATTTGGTGAAACCTTCACTAGAGGGGCATTGATATGGTATTCACCGTAACCAGCTTGTGCCATAGAAACATTTGAAGAAATGGCCGACAAGTTCGTGATGGCACATGCGGGGGCCAATAAAGCTGAAACAAGAGTAAACGACATCTTTGCCATTAAGCAATCCTTAGGAGAGGGACTGAGGGACTTCCTCGACCGATTCAATAGGGTGAGGATGACCTTACCAAATGTTTTCGAAGGGATGACCATGGCAGCCTTTTAGAATAGGTTGAGCAGAGAGGGTTTGAGGGCGACCAGAAAGCTACTGAGCAGATTGATGAAATATCCACCGGCCACTTGGGATGAAATCTATAATGCCTGCTGTGCCGAGGTCAGAGCAGATGGGGACGACCTCAATGGACCAACTCGATGACTACTTCGGTACAGTCCGAGCCCAGGAAAGAACTAAGGGATAATACGAGGAGAGACAACCCAGTATCACGGCCAAGCAGGGAACGATTCCAACCATATGTCAAGACACCCGTCCCCTCATTCTATTATGAAGATGGCACGTCTAGGCCGAGATTAGGCACTCACAGGAACGATCGAGGTATGCCCCCAGTTATTTGCTCATAAATTTTGTGTATCGCCTACTGAAGTGGTCTACGCTTTCGAGAAGCTCGGAACTAAAGTCAAATGGCCACTAAAGATGAGTTCGGACCCAAACACAAGGAAATCTGATGCCCTCTGCGAGTTCCACCAAGAACGTGGACACATAGTAGAAGATTGCATCGCCCTGAGACTAGAGGTGGCAAACTTACTGCATCAAGGGAACCTCAAAGAACTACTTAGCGACAAAGGCATGAACACATTAGCAAGGAGTCGAGAATGTCTAGGCCCACCGAAGCCCCCTTCACCAGCTCATACCATTAGTATGATTATTGGTGGCAGCGACGAAGCCTCTATCAATGACATCAAATTCACCCCTACCCACAAGCTCAAAAGATCGATCACTTACAAACGGTATGACGGACTCGAAGAAAGTATCATCTTTGAAGAGTCAGACACCGACGGTTTGACTTTCCCTAATAATGATGCACTTGTCATTAGTTTACGAATATTAGATAATGATGTTAAAAGAAGTATGGTAGACGACGGAAGTGGAGCGTGCATTATCCATCCACAAGTCCACGTACAGATGAGACTCGAGGATAAGATAGTGCCACATTGTATTACACTAGCTGGTTTTAATAATGCAGTTGAACAGACTTTGGAAAAAATCACACTCTCTGTTCTCGCCGGCGGAGTAACTCTAGAGACAACGTTCCATATCATGGACTAGAACATCGCATACAATGCCATCGTGGGACGATTATGGATCCACCCCATGAGAGTCATCCCCTCCAGCTTATACCAAGTGATCAAATTCCAAACACTTTGGGGAATATTCAGCATACAAGGAGAACATCGTACGTCCCGGGAATGCTACTGAATTGCTATGGACAACACAACAACTCAACAAAAGAAATAAAAGGAAAATGAAGCGTAGCAATTAGCAGGGTTGAGGTCGCCACAAGGCGAAGCCAAGGAAGTCATTATGGACATCGAGACAGTCGAAGCAGCTAAATCAACCATAGAAGACCTCGACCCTATTCAACTAGATCATAGCGACCCCAGCAAAAAGGTCTACATCGGCTGCAAACTCTGAGAACCAGGTAAATTTAGTCAATTTTTAATAACTAACATAGATTTGTTTGCCTTTAGTTATGATGATATGCCAGGCATCCCCAAAGAAGTCGCCACACACAAACTGAATTTTGACCCCTTCTACCCCTAGTAAGGCAAGCCCGATGAAAGTTCAACCCCACCATCAATAAGGTCGTTCCACGAAGAAGTTGAGAAGTTAAAGGAAACTGATTCTATTAGGGAGGCGAAGTACCCCAAATGGATTGCCAATGTAGTTATGGTCAAAAAAAGGAAATGGAGGATGTGCGTGGACTTCACAGATCTAAGCAAAGCATGCCCAAAAGATTCATTCCCACTATCACACATCGACCAACTCATCGACGCAACGGCAGGGAACGAGCTGTTAAGCTTTCTGGATACCTACTCAGGTTACAACCAAATACTCATGGAGGAGGAAGACCAAGAGAAAACCACGTTCATCACCCATAGGGGAACATATTGTTATAGGGTCATGCCATTTGGGTTGAAGAACGCAGGGGCCACCTATCAAAGGTTGGTCACAAAAATATTGAAAGATCAACTCGGCAAAACCATGAAGGTGTATATCAACGACATGTTGGTCAAGTCTGTAAAGGAAGAGGATCATATTGACCACCTAAATGAAGCTTTTGATATACAAATAAAGTGCAGAATGAAATTAAACCCAGAGAAATGCGCGTTTGACATAGCCTCGGGAAATCTTTTGGGTTTCTTGGTATCACAATGAGGGATTAAGGTCAACCTAGATCAATTTAAGGCTATCGACGGGATACCAGAAATATTGACTACTAAGAAATAAGTACAGAGATTAAATGCTCAAATTTCCGCCCTATCCAGATTCATTTCGCAGTCGTGCGATAGATGTCACATGTTTTTCAGTGTACTCAAAAAGGATAACAGCCTCAAATGGATGCCCGAGTTTGTACAAGCACTGCGGGAACTGAAGGCGTACTTTTCATCACCACCCTTGCTTTTAAAGACCGAGCCCGGGGAGTGCCTCCTCGTTTACATCGTTGTTTCGGAAGTAGCGATAAGTGCAGTCTTGGTTCGAGAAAATAAAGGTATGCAGTCTCCAATTTATTATATCATTAAAACACTTATCGACACCGAGACGTGGTACCCTCACCTCGAGAAACTTGCCTTGGCCTTGGTCGTAGTGCCACCCTATCTTGGTCATCACCACTTTTCCTTTAAGAAGTATATTACACAAACCCGAGCTGTCAGGGAGGTTGGCCAAATGGGTCATCGAGTTAAATAAGCACGACATCACTTATCAACCTCGCACAGAGATAAAGTTGCAAGTACTTGCTGACTTCATCGTAGACTTTAGTGCAAAAGTAATGCTTGAGGCTGAAAAGGAAGCCACTCAAGCTTCTCTTCAAACACGGGATCTTTGGGTCCTGTATCCAACGGTGCGCTCAATGCATGTGGTTCCGGACTGGGACTCGTGCTCGAGGTTCCCACCGACCAACTAATTCTCCAATCCGAAAGATGCCTAGATATGACTAACGACGAGGCCGAATATGATGTCATAATTACGGGATTGAAACTAGCACTCAAGTACGGGGCGAAACGATTAAAGCTTTATTGTGATTCTCAACTCGTAGTCAACCAAGTTATTGGGACTTTCCAAATCAAAGTGCAGAGGTTTAAGAAGTATCAAACTAGGATCCTCAGATTACTACCCAACTTCGACAAATGTCAGCTCGACTAAATTCCACGAAATCAGAACGTCGAAGTAGACGGCCTCGCCAAGTTAGTCGCCGCCACCAAAAGTATAACTCCTGGGGATAAGAGTGTATTTCACCTCCTCAGCTTGGCATTGGACCACGTCGAGGTAAAATATATAAATTTAACTTAGGACTGGCGCAATTGTACTGTAAACTATTTGCAGGACGGCACCCTCCCAAACGACAAAAGGGAAGCCAAAAAGCTGAGAATGCAGTCTACCAAGTACAGTCTCCTTCACAATGACTTGTACAAAAGAACGTACGGCGGCCCCTTGGCAAAATGCTTAGGCCCGAACCAAACCCAACGCGTCCTCGAGGAAGTCCATGAAGGTCATTGTGGCAGTCACTCCGGTAACCGAGCACTAGTCAGGTGTCTCATACGGGTTGTGTATTATTGGCCCACCAATGAAAAAAGACACTCTAGAATTTGTGAAGAAACATGAGCAGTGTCAAAAGTATGCCCTGACAATTCACCAAGTGGGCGAGCACCTCTACTCCGTTACTTCTCCGTAGACTTTCATTAAATGGGGAATGGACATTGTGGGACCGTTTCCACCCGGACGAGGTAATGTAAAATTACTTTTAGTTTAACTAACTACTTCTCTAATAAAATTCCTTTTAGTTTTAACTGACTACTTCTCTAAGTGGGTGGAAGTAGGAGCATTCACCCAAGTTCGTTAACAAGAGGTAATCGCCTTCATATGGAAAAACATCATATGCCAATTGGGCCTACCTGATGAGATAAGTTATGACAACGGTCCCCAGTTCACGGGAAGAAAAACCACCGAGTTTTTTGAAAAATGGCATATTAAAAGGATAATTTCAACTCCTTATCACCCAGTTGGCAACGGACAAGCAGAGTCCTCCAATAAATCTATATTAAACATCATGAAAAGGAAAATCAAAGAGGCCAGGGGATTGTGGTTGGATGTACTCCCAGAAGTATTATGGGCGCATAGAACTACGTAAAAGATGGGCACAGGAGAGAAACTTTACTCTCTACTCTACGGAATAGAAGTAGTTGTACCAGTCAAAGTCGGAGAACCCAGCCTGAGGTACTCCCATGAAAGCGGAACCAGCAATGACGAAAGTAGGAGGCAAGATCTCGACGAGGTCGAAGAGTGAAAAGACATGTCATACATAAGGATGGTCGCTCAGAAATAACAAGCGAAATGTTACTACAAAAAAAGGCAAATCTTCGATTACCCAAGATCGGGGACTACGTACTCAAAGCCAAAACCCAAGCAAATAGGGATCTACGAGAAGGTAAATTGGGAGCAACCTGGGAGGGGCCATATAAAATCATAGGCAAAGAAGATAAGGGTTCGTTCCAGTTGGAAACTATGGAAGGGAAGCCCCTTCCAAACAATTGGAATATCATCCATCTCAAGTGATTCAACTTCTAAAAAACAAGAAGTGTCTTACGAGTCGTACTCTTTTTTATCTCACTTGAGTTTTGTCCCAATAGGGTTTTCTTAAGGAGGTTTTTAACGAGGTGACGAGTGGGAGACTTCAGTTGAAGTATACGAGAGAAGACAGAATTTTTGTTGCCCGACTCCTCAAGATTCTCCAAGTGAACAATGAAGGGACTAGATATACTGGGACTTGAACACCATCCAACACCCAAAACTTGTAATTTTCTCCAAAAAACTGCCTAAGGGAAAAATGATGTAATGAGAGCAACGACATCAGAATAATAGAAATGCACATTTATCGAAACTACTCTTCTAAATGGTACGTTCGACCAAGCTCGAACAATACCTACCGACCCTCGGCCCTGACTTAATGAAAGGTACGTTCGACCAAGCTCGAATGACACTTGTTGGCCCTCGGCCCTAATGCAATGAAAGGTACGTCCGACCAAGCTCGAACAACACCTATCGGCCTTCGGCTATGAACTAACGAAAGGAAAGTTCAACCAACTTGAAAAACTCCTATTGGCCCACGACCACTACCTAATCAAAGGTACGTTCAAATGGCCTAAATGACTCTTATTCAGCCCATGGCTGCAACTCAAACTTAAAGGTACATTCGACCAGCTCGAACAAAACCTATTAGTCCTTGGCCACGGCCCATTTAAAGGTATGATTCGACCAGCTCGAACAAGAGCTATTGGCCCTTGGCCATAATTTAACTTAAAAATATGTTCAACTGACTCGAATAAAGGCTGATAGACCACTGCCAGTCAACACCACGGATATAGCAACTTAGAAAATAATAACGAAGAAGGGAGGTACAGAAGCAAAACTCACGAGTAAAGAAGGGAAAAAAACAAATACAGAAACAAAGGTAAGAAAGATACGTATACGACAAGAACCAACTTTGATATTTAGATAAAGAGTCTTTACAAAGGCACTTGAAGATGCCAACAAAAATATACAAGAAGTTAAACAAAAACTAGTAGCCATCACCACCCCGGCCTCTGATGTCCTTTTCATCCTCGCCTTGAACGTAAGCGGAGTCATACCTAGCACTATCCACAAGCTGGTCCACACCCTCTTCCTCATCCTCCTCAGAATCAGGCTGAAGCGTGGCACAGGCGAGCCCGGCCTCACGAGCTTTAACTCGAGCCTCCTTGAGAACCGTCTCAGAAACAAAGCCTGACTTATTCAAATCATGCATCACGTCCAGCCGTGCTTCAACGTAGATTCACTCCTCGTACTGCTCTCGAGGAATATTAGGATACTCAGAGGCATTAGACATAGAGGGCCACGCAAGCAGTTAGGCATACTCGGCCTCAAGAACTGCCACTCGATCATACAACTCGGAGTTCTCCTTACCCAATTCCCCAACTCTCTCCTCGAGCCTATCCTCGTTAGCTTCGACCGCAGATTTTCCCGCTCGGAATGGAGAGCCATGTTCGCCAACTCCAAAACTGACATCTCCC